CTCCAGGACTTACTCTCCATTCAGCCTGGTTTTTCTCAGCATATGCATTAATTGTTACACAGCCTTTTTCACGCAGTTTAGCAGAGATACTCTTGATGTCTGGATCAAGCTCTTCGTAGCAAATTGGACAATCCATCTTCTGTTTAATAATGAAAATATCAGGTTAAGTGAAATAATTACACTTTAAAATAAATTATTAGATAAATAAATATGTGTGATTTCCATGTGCATCCTATATTTTAACTGTTAAATATGTTATTATGTTAAATATTACTAATATAATACATGTGCAAAACAATGTATATAGTTGATACTGAAATTTGAATTTGGATCGAAAATCAAAGTTATTTGATTCATCAGTATTTTTAAAAGATTTATCAAGCCAGATCATCCTATTGTTTCATATCGATTTTACCATAAATATAATTTGGCATAATTTTGAAACAAATAAGCATGTTAAAATAACCTTCCACTTAATTTATGACATCCAAATTAATCATGTACCTATCACTCTTTTAGGCTCAATGTGCTTTCATAAAGTTTGTGTGTTACTGTATTCTGAAAATTTATGAAAATAATCAAGGTTTGCGCTAAAACTCTTATTTTTCCTTTCATAAATTCTAAAATTTAAAGTATAAAATCAATATATATTTTTCAAGATTTTTAAATATGATACCGAGTATTTATAAAAACTAAGATTTCCAAGTCTATGATAGGGCAACAGTCATGTGAGGGCTTTAAATGGCGAAGCCTGCGACATGCTTGTAAAAGAATTAAAATATTGTTATTTTATTATGTTAACTTGTTGATCATATTTGACATAATTTAAAAGGTAAATGTTTGTAACTATAGTAAAATGAAGCGTATGAATAAACTAAATTTTATATTCAACACACAGAGTTAAATTATATATCTACGTACTATTCATTATATTCCATTTATAGTTGACTCTTGCATATCACAGAAGGCAGCACTACAGAGATTCAGTCAATGTAACGGTATATCTGTAAAATGAATGTTCAAAAATGTATAAAATTATTCAATGTTGTTGTTCACGCTAAAATGCGAAGAAACTGCAGCAAGATTAGTCAATTGTTGAAAATGTTGATGAAGGTTACTTAAAATGCAAACTTTCACTGTAAAATGTGAAAAAAATGTGTTAAAATTTTATTGATTTAAACGTACTTTTGACCCGTATCCGCAGTTAAAAAAAATAACGAGCGTTTGCTTACCGGAACAATATTTTTTGCCAAAAAAATCACTCTTTGCGTGATTATTTTTAGTTTGTACAAAAAACAAAGTTAATATATACAAAAAACAAAGTTAATATAAGCATAACAGAGATAGACATACACCAGAAATCTTAAATATCTGCCTCCAGCCCCGTGAGACAAAACCAAGGGCATCTACATGCTTTGAGTTCTAAATGTTTGGAAAAAATAATTTAAAACAAGATTATATGAAATGCATGTTCTGCATTGTATTATATTTTCAAGACCATTAATAATTTACCTTTTTTCTGTCTCCAAAGGCAAAAATTCTGTTAAAACCTCGACTGTTTACACTCTCGAATTCCTCGCGCGTGCGAACTTCTGCTTGGAGAGCAACAAAGGGAGATAACAAAAACGGCGTACGGTGTACGGTTCTGGCCATTAGAATATTTTTTAAAAATGCTATTTTAAAAAGTCAATAATTTCAAAACGGTAAAACGCTGAGCATGCGATTTTTTTATTAACTCTTATCTATACATGTTCTTTCGTGGAACGTACTTTTTGTTTCTGTTGCTTATAGTTTAACCTTTTTATTTACTTTGATTAGACTATTACAATTATCCGTTTAAATCGACCTTCCGCTCTATCTCGGAAATGCCGTTCGCTCGTTTTACCGTACACCACAATTTTGAAGTGGAGCGACAGTTTGCCGGGCGTGTAGGATCATTCCTGTAAAGTTTGGTTGCTATGCAGTCATTTGTTTCTGAGGAGATGTTGTTTAAAGAAATTGCTGACGACGCACGACGACAGACGGTGGGGGATCACAATAGCTCACCTAGATGTAAAAACATCTTAATCTCCAGACTTCATTGCCATTTTCAAGGCATCAAGAAGGGATCTCACAATTTTCAAATATTTTTAAATGTTATTGTAACAAATCATTTTAATTCTTTTTTAATAAAAACTAGAAATGTGTCCATAGGACACGGGTGCCCCCACCGCGCCACTGTTCAGTCAATCTTATGACTAGGTCAAATATTTTTTGAAAACTAAAAATCTTTTTACTAAGTAAAGGGCAAGAACTTTACAAATACTGAATAAATCTCCAAGCAAACCCAAAGTTGAAAATTGCAAATTTATACTACTGTAATTCAAGGGCAATAACTCTAACAAAACTGAAAAAAATCCACATGCAAAGTCCCAGGTGCATAGCTTCACAGTGAGGTGAATCATTATTCCTGTATTTTAGTGATGTTGATCATTATTCCTGTAAAGTTGGTCGATTCTAACTCAAGCACTCAAGGATCAAATCACAACATAATGAAACAGTTTTTACTAAGTCAAGGGAAATAACTCTACAAATACTAGATAAATCCACAAGCGAAACCCCAGGAACAAACTAAATATGCTGAGCAACTTTCCAATAAGGTTTAATGACTATGTCAAATCCTTTTTGAGTTACATGCGACACATGTTGAAAATTGCAAACATTTTCTAAGTCAAGGGCAATAACTCTAAAAATACTAAATAAATCCAGACGAAAATACCCAGGTGCACAACTACACATGCTGATCAACATTCCTGTAAAGTATCATGACTCTAGGTCAAATACTTTTTACGTTATATGCGACACAAGTTGAAAATTGCAAAATTTTACTAAGTCAAGGGCAATAACTCTAAAAATACTAAAAATATCCAGACGAAAAATACTCAGGTGCACAACTACACATGCTGATCAACATTCCTGTAAAGTTTTATGACTTTAGGTCAAATCCTTTTTGAGTTACATGCGACACAAGTTGAAAATTGCAAAATTTTACTAAGTCATGGGCAATTACTCTAAAAATACTAAATCCAGACGAAAATACCAAGGTGCACAACTACACATGCTGATCAACATTCCTGTAAAGTTTCATGACTCTCGGTCAAATACTTTTTGAGTTACATGCGACACAAGTTGAAAATTACAAAATTTTACTAAGTCAAGGGCAATTACTCTAAAAATAATAAAAAAATCCAGATGAAAATACCCAGGTGCACAACTTCACATGCTGATCAACATTCCCATGAAGTTTCGTTGAATTCCAGCCATTAGTTGCAGAGAACTAGTCCGGAAACGAAATTCGGACGGACGGACAACGTCAAAACTATATCCCCCTCCCGATTCCATCAGCACACATACTGATCAACATTCCTGTAAAGTTTCATGACTCTAGGTCAAATACTTTTTGAGTTACATGCGACAAAAGTTGAAAATTACAAAATTTTACTAAGTCAAGGGCAATAACTCTAAAAATACTAAAAATATCCAGACGAAAATACCCAGGTGCACAACTTTACATGTTGATCAACATTCCCATAAAGTTTCGTTGAATTCCAGCCATTAGTTGCAGAGAACTACTCCGGAAACGAAATTCGGACGGACGAAAGGACGGACGGACAACGCCAAAACTATATCCCCCTCCCGATTCCATCGGCGGGGGATAATAATTGTATAAAATATTACAAATTGTTTTACGAGAACGTACATGAAGGGTTCCATGATAACCGCCGTATGAACACATCTGCGGATGTTTCTAAATTCAAAATTTCACCATTTTCGTGTTCAAATGTTGAATTCTGCTTAAGCCGGTGCTAGGGGGCGTGGACGGTAACTTGTACTTTCCATTACCGTCCATGAACAGGCTCCATCAAACCGAGCCTGCAACATTTTACAATTTTGCCGTGTTGAGCTTTCTTTAGGGATTCTGTTTTTCACTATTTCATTGTCACATCCCTGTTATTTGTGCCGTGTGGCGGCTGTATAAAGTCTCCCCGTAAATTTAATCAATGATGTTATATTTTCGATACTTGAAGATCGTTCGGCACGACATTATTGTTGTGTATACATTTTAGATGGTATTTTAGTTTCTTGTGTTTGGCCTTTTTCAATTTGGGTGGTTCCAGTATTCCTACTTGAATACTGTAAAATATGATGCACAAGATCAACAAGGAAAGGCGGCGTTCAAAATCACCCTTAGCATATGTTGCCTGCTTTTTAAATTTGTCTTTTGACGTCTTGTCTGTGATATGCAGGCTTCATAACCTCAGATCCCCTTTCAAAATTCCATTTTATTTAGTTCCGCCCATTGTTTTCTCGTTTAGGGCACACGCATTCTTTTACTTGGGGACCATACGCCGCTTTTCATGGAATGACACTTATGTGTCACATTGAAGGTTCCATGATAACCGCCGTATGAACACATCTGCGGATGTTTCTAAATTCAAAATTTCACCAGTTTCGTGTTCAAATGTTGAATTCTGCTTAAGCCGGTGCTAGGGGGCGTGGACGGTAACTTGTACTTTTCATTATCGTTCATGAACAGGCTCAATCAAACCGAGCCTGCAAAATTTTACAATTTCGCCGTGTTGAGCTTTCTTTAGGGATTCTGTTTTTCACTATTTCAACGTGTTTGTTATTTTGAAATATAAACTGTATTCGATGTTTCGACCGACCTGTCAGACAATCAACACAACACAATTGAAACTGTTGCAGGCTCGGTTTGATTGAGCCTGTTCATGAACGGTACTGTGAAGTGCAAACTACCGACCACGTCCCTAGCACCGGCTTAAGATGAATTTAACATTAATTACTATTTACAGCCTCCACACGGCACAAACAATACTGTTGTGGCGATAAAATAGAGAAAATAAGAATATTAAAGAAAGCCTAACACAAATATCCTCAAAATATTGGGATTCAGGATCTTTAAATCCCGTAACTAAATAAAATGCAGCATGTGTATATACCTGGTTGAATTTGATGGTTTGGCCAGCACCAAAATCTGCATCGTGGTCCAAGAAAGCTGAGAATGCGATTCTGCCATCTACCGCTAGAAATTGTTTACCAAAATATATAGGACCCATATACGAGTATATCTTGAACAGCACAAGCCTAAATGATGCCAGTATTAATTAATTTATTAACCAATTAATTAATTAAAGCAGTAGCAAAATCCAGCAAAAAGAAATTAATGCAGATTAAATTTGATTTGAATCTAACATCTCTCAACATCCTGAGCTGTATTCCTTTATTCAAAACTAAGATAATAAACGCTTTTTTATACTTTCACTTCACTTGAAAAGAATAGGTAATACATGGTGTATTAAAATATGATAAACAAGATCAACAAGGAAAGGCGGCGTTCAATAAACTATTAAGTACAACATCAACAGGCCGGTCAATATATATATATACATTTACCCTTACATTTTTTTACATTCCGTGAATGATCATGACTTTCTGGAAAAACTTCATTCCTTTGGGTGACTAAACCTTGCCCAGATCTGCATTCACGGATAGCCGCACTGTGATTAGCGATTTGTTTTTCAAGGAAGTTTATCTTCTTGTTTTGTTTTTCTATCATAATCTCCTGTTTCCTGTAAAACAATGCACCAATAGAATAAAGGCACTCGTATCAGATTATTCGAATATTCAAACATTAAGATCAAAGTAAATATTGTCATTTAATGGCAGAGCATTTTATTTTGCTGGAGTACTATGAAAGTTTTATAGCATGTGAAAGTCAGTTTACCAGAAAGAAAAGCACAAAAAGAACAACAGATACTTCGTAAGTGAATATTTAAGATCTTGTCATCATTTGACAAAGTTGAGTAGCAAAAGTTTGTAAAACAAACAAACATACAAACAAAAAAACATGCCTACCAATACCGTATTGATAAAAAACTGGTAACAAAGTGATCCCTCGGAAGCATTAATCACAACAAAATTAAATAAGAATTGCAGACTCGGTTTGATTCAGTCTGTACATGAGGGATAATGAATAAGTGCAACATCCCTCACGCCCCCTAGCACCGGCTTGAGCGGTACTGAATTTTCAACACTTAATAGTGCTGGCATCAATGATCCCGAAGGACGAGAAAAATATAACAACACTGAAGTGAAGTACGGGGCAACATTTTACAGCTGCCACACAGCACTTGACACCTGCTGTTGTGAAGTATAAAAATCTGGAAACAAGGTGATCCCTCGGAAGCATTAATCACAACAAAATTACATAAGAATTGCAGACTCGGTTTGATTGAGTCTGTACATGAGGAATAATGAATAAGTACAACATCCCTCAACGCCCCCTAGCACCGGCTTGAGCGGTACTCAATTTTCAACACTTAATAGTGCTGGCATCAATGATCCCGAAGGACCAGAAAAATATAACAACACTGATTGATAAACTCTACTTACAGAAGTCTTTCTTCCCAAACAGCAAATTTTGATATAACATCCTGTTGAGAGAATTTAGTTTGGTTTGAAGAAGCAAGTGGAATTATAGAAATTATGAATATTCCACACAATAACATTTTTGATGCCTTGGTGTGCACGCTCTTGGTTTAGTGAATGGTTTAAAGTTTAACAAGAGACAAGATAAATCTTTCTGTTTAGATAAGGTGAAGTGATAGCCATTCCTCCTAATGTCAGTGTTTATCACAAGGAGTGTTTCTGTTTGCCATTTTTGTCGTATTTTGAACTTAATATACTTAAAATTGTTTGCCATCGTGCTCCATTTTTCGGACGAAGTTAGTCTATTATCAATTTGACTTCCTGTAAAATTAACAAGGAAGGACTGAATTAAGAAGAATTTCAATTGGTCATTTTAAAATCGGTGAATCTCATTTGTCATTCTAAATTAAAATGAAACCATGCTTAAAATAGAGTGAATTAAGAATCCCTAAAGAAAGCCCAACGCGGCAAAATTGAAAATGTTGCAGGCTTGGTTTGATTGAGCCTGTTCATGGACGGTACTGGAAAGTGCAAGTTACCGTCCACGCCCCTAGCACCGGCTTAAGCAGAATTCAACATTAAACATGAACTGGTAAAATTTGAATTTTTAAACATCCGCAGATGTGTTTATATGGCGGTTATCATGGAACCTTCAATGTGACACATTACTTCATGAGCATTTTGTGAAAAAAGGCTGTTTTCATTGAAAAGTCTCCCGTTATAAGTTCAAATTGCTATTTAACTATAGCAAATGCTTCAATACTGATTAAACTTCGCACAAATGATGAATGGACCATTGCCTTTGTAACAACATACCAAGGCTTAAATTTCCTGTTACCATGGCAACGAGGGGACATCTCAAAATTGCCAACAATCACTATTTTGCGTTGATTTTACCATCAATAGAATAGAGAAAAACAGAATCCCTAAAGAAAGTCCAACACAACAAAATTGAAAATGTTGCAGGCTCGGTTTGATTGAGCCTGTTCATGGACGGTACTGGAAAGTGCAAGTTACCGTCCACGCCCCCTAGCACCGGCTTAAGCAGAATTCAACATTGAACACGAAAATGGTGAAATTTTGAATTAATTAATTTTTGAAAATTAATTTCAAAGTGCTGCAACTTCTCAATGGATTGAGAAAGACTCAAATGCTTTTCAGCGTGCGTTACACGTTACCGTATGATTGATCTGGAGTCATTTTTAGCCTCTCACAAGTTCAAAATTTTCTTGGCGATGAGGGGGACTGCCGCCCCCTTCCAATCCCCCAAAACAGAAGGGGGCACATCCCCCTTCTGGAAACCCCCTAATGTATCTTTTGGTTGGGGGACCGCGCCGAAAAAATGGTCATTTTTTTAGCAACATTTCTGGGGCCTAAATAAGGCATTTTTCACCATTTGAGACAACAATAAGGGGGGAGGGGTGAAAAGGGCGTTAAAAGGCGTGTATATCGGGTAATGGGTAAACAGAAAATGATGAAAATACCTGAAATTACCTGAAACCGCAAAAAAAATGACGATTTTGGTAGCAGTGGAGTGCCTGAATTTGCGAAGGATACAAAACAAATATCTGATGACACAACACATGACTGTTTCATCTTAGATCTGGACCGAGCAGTTAATATGAATTCCTGTTTTGTTGTTGAAGATGAAAAGGAACATGAAAACCACGAAGAAATTAATCATGATTATTTCGTATTGGAGGAAACTGAAGAAAATTGATACATTAACTCATTGAATTAACTTTTTATTTTTTCTGCTTAACATAATATAATCTAGATTAAATGAATTGTGTAGGATAGTTCTAACCATTCTAAAATAAAATTTTAAGAATAGGTATAATATAAATTGTAAGGGATAGTGTTGCCGATATTAAATTAAATGTAAAGGATAGTTCTAAAATAGTGTACAAAAATGAGGATAGTTGTTGAACCTTGAGGGTATTCTGCAAATTATTATAATGACATAATTTATAAAGTCAAACGTAAAACATGTAAAAGGGACACTTCAAATAGAAGTTGTCCAACTGTAAAAATCATCATTTTTAAAATGCTATAGTTTAATTTCAATGTTTACAAAATGGGTACTTTTTCTGAGCTGCAAGAAGTAACAGAAATAACTGTTATGTCATTGTTAAGCAAGCATTGCTAACATTTCTTTTTGTATTGAAAATTTAGAAATAACATAATTTTGCATGTTTACCAGAAATTACTTCGACCGAGTATCTTTTGGAAAGACATTTCTTGTTTCTATCCGTTTACATATGAATTAAAAGTACATTTTTCTTTTTATTATCGTATTTATAATTGTGATGAGGGTATTCTACCTTGGACTTATAATTCCCCGAAAATAAATATTAACCTTTCGAATATAAGAAAGTCATCAAATTCACCTGAACATTTCAAAGAGAAATTTCTAGCAATTTAAGGAAGAGCATGAATATTTTTATACATATCTATACGGACAGTTCAAAAGAAGGTTGCAAGCTGTGTTTGAAAATAATTTTAAATATAGTCTGAGGTTACCAGATATTGCATCATTTTTATGCCACCGCAGCATCTGCGATGCGGTGGCATATAGCGATTCACCTGTGTGTGTGTGTGTTTGTGGTGTGTGTTTGTGTGTGTGTTATATATAGATTATATAGTGAACTTAAAAAAATCTTCTTGTGAAAAACCACTAGTCCAATTTCAACCAAACTTGGCAGGATTGTTCCTTGGGTGAAGGGCTTCCCAAAGTTGTTCAAAGAATTTCATTCCATGCAGAAATCTGGTTGCCATGGCAACCAAAAGGAATTATAAGAATAAATTTAAAAAAATCTTCTTGTAAAGACCCAAAAGGCCTAGAGCTTAGATATTTTGCATAAGGCATTGTCTGGTAGACCTCTAACAAGATTGTTCAAATTATAGCCTCGGGTCAAAATTGGCCCCGCCCCGGGGGTCATTGATTTCCACTATGTACATATTGTTTAAAAACTTAAAATACCTTCTTGTAAAAACCCAAAAGGCCTAGAGCTTAGATATTTTGCATGAGGCATCATCTGGTAGACCCTTACCAAGATTGTTCAAATTATAGCCCTTGGGTCAAAATCGGACCCGCCCCGGGTCATTGATTTTTCGCTTATATGTACATATAGTAAAAACTTAAAACACCTTCTTGTAAAGACCCAAAAGGCCTAGAGCTTAGAGATTTTGCATAAGGCATTGTCTGGTAGACCTCTACCCAGATTGTTCAAATTATAGCCCTGGGGTCAAAATCGGCCCCGCCCCAGGGGTCATTGGTTTTCCTTATATGTATATAGTAAAAACTTTAAAAAAATTTCTTCTAGCAATTGACAAATGCTAGAGGTTAGATATTTTTGCATGAAACATTGTGTTGTAAACCTCTAGCAAGATTGTTTTCAAATTATAGCCCTGGGGTCAAAATTGCCCCGCCCTGGGGGTCATTGATTTCAATATATACATATAGTAAAAAATAAAAAAA